GCGGAGCAATCTGTGGAGCTGGAAGCTGAGAACTGGCGACTTTGTAGTACAACTTGAGTACGCGGAGTATCTGGGGAGCTGGAAGATGAGAACTGGCGAAGTTGTAGTACAACTTTAGTACGTGGAGTATCTGGGGAGCTGGACGATGAGAACTGGCGACTTTGTAGTACAATTTTAGTATGCGGAGCAATCTGTGGAGCTGGAAGCTGAGAACTGGTGACTTTGTAGTACAACTTTAGTACGCGGAGTATCTGGCGAGCTGGAAGATGAGAACTGGCGACTTTCTAGTACAACGTTAGTACGCGGAGTATCTGGGGATCTGGAAGATGAGAACTGACGACTTTGTAGTACAACTTTAGTACGCGGAGCAAGCTGTGGAGCTGGAAGCTGAGAACTGGCGACTTTGTAGTACAACTTTAGTACGCGGATAAGTCATCTCTCGCGGCTGAGTCATCTCTTGCGGCTGCTCTGGCGCCCCTGCAGCTGAGTCATGTCTCCCGACCACCGGGCTCTCTTGAGAGGTTGACAAATTTTAGCTACTTTGCTTACTCATAAGTGGCTGCTATATCGCACCTGCACATCCACACTGTCACTCCTTGACATCCACCCTCCCTTTCTCTCTTTCTATACATCTTTTCGACAGCGCTGGACAATTACATGTCTCGCTCTCGGGCCAACCGTCGTCTAGTTTCTATTCCACAGTGCAGCCAGAACCAGAAGCAAAATGCAACATCTGTATGCACATTCACCTTGCACATGGTGATGAAAGTCCAAGCCATATGCAGATGCAATACCACTTCAGCAACACAGCCAGCACCTTTCCCCAGAGCTTTGCACTTCCATGTGCATGCTTTGCACTTCCCACAGCCAGCCATGGCTTCCAGTTCAAGTAAAGTGCCAGCAGCAAAGCTCCAAGATGACAGAGCAACCAAATTGAGGAAGCTTCAAGACTTGAGGCAACATATACCACATGTTACCAAAAGTGGTCTGCAAGCCTTGCTGCGATATGTGCCTGATAAGGGCATACCTGAAGCAAAGTATGCCAAAGACATGAGGGCTGCCAACAGGCAGGTGATCCAAGAAGCCAATGCCTATGGGCAACTTGTGTATGAAAAGCTCTTGGCCAGCCCCACAGGTCATGGCATTGTTTTGCCATTTGTGAATTTCTTGAGATGGGTGTTCTATGCCCACCACAAAGGGGGTGGGTGGAGCAACTGTTTTGGCAAATTGATTGCAACACATGAATGTCTGTCTTTGATATTGTATTGTGATGAAATATCACCAGGAAATCCATTGGCAAGCAGAGTTGGTAGAAAATGCTGGGTGGTATACTGTGCCATCAAAGAAATGCAAGATCTTCTTTCAGATGTGGATGCTTGGGTGACTTTGTTCATTGCCAGATCAAGCTTGGTGCAAGATGTGTCAGCTGGAATGAGTGCAGTGATGAAAGAAATTTTGATGAACATCTTCAGAAGCCCTGCTTGTGATGTAGAGAATGTTGGCCTAATGCTGAAACCAGCTGCTGGGCCATCAGTGTGGGTGAGGCTGCAATTCGCTTTCTTCTTGCAAGATGGGCAAGCAATGAACATGGTCTACAGTGTCAGGGGCGATGCAGCCTCCAGATTCTGCCCATTGTGTAAGAACATATTTGCTTGCAAAGATGACAGTGATGAGCTGCCCGCTGTGTGCAGGTATTTGAAAAAATAAACTACACCTTGCTTCAGATGATGGGATGATAGCAAGCTGGAGAAGAATGCAGCAAAGGGCCAATGACTATAATGCCAGAAGAATGGCTGCTGCAGGTTTTCAAAGGTGGCAACAAGCTGCTGGTATTACATGGGGTTCAGAAAGCTTGCTGGCCAGCCCTTTGTTGGAGGGTGCAATGAAGCCATGCAAACAATGGGTGCATGATTGGCTGCACTGCTTGCTCAGCAATGGTATCTTTGCACTTGGAGCATTTTTGCTGTTGAGCTCTTTGGATGTGTGGGGTACACTGTTCAACTATGTGGCCATGTGGTGTTTGCCAAAGCATCTGCAGGGTATCAACATCAAGTCATTTTTTGAAGCTAGCAGAGTGAAAAATCATCGCAAGAGTGAGAAGATCAATGCTACTGCATCAGAATTGATGACTTTGGAGCCAGTTCTGACACATTTTGTGGAAAAGGTGGCTCTACCTGCTGGCAGCTATGTGCCTCAGTGTGAGGCCTATCTGGCATTGGCAACTGTGGCGCAGATGTTCCAGTGCAAAACGCACGCGCAGACTTTGCAGGCCCAAGTGGAACTTGTATTGCGTTTGTGGATGGCTGCTGGCTGGCAGGACTGGATGATAAAGAAACATCACTGGCTCCTTCATTTTCCTGCCCACTTGGAAGAGCATGGGATGACAGCTTCTTGCTTTACAGCAGGGAGAAAACATAAAGATGTGTCCATGCATGCTGTGGGCATGTACAACACAAAATATGTTGAAAGAGTGGTCTTGGATGAAGTCACCAACCAAGAGTTTCATTCTTTGCGTGATCCAGATTGTTTTTGCCAAGACCCTGGCCTTGTGAAAGCATCACCTTTGCCAAAAACACTTCTGCACATTGGGCAGCAAATTTGGCGCTTTGCTGTGGATGTGTGGGCCACACTGTGAAGTTGGTGCATGGCAGCACTGTAAGCAAGGGTGATGTTGTACTGCTGCATGGGCCTCCCAATTGGAAATGTGGGATGGTGAATGTTCACTTGTCACATGCTGGGCAATGTGTGTCTGTAGTGACACAGTTCAGTCTTGTGTCGAGTGGCCAGAAGTCTTGTGTATGGAAAAACACACAGGACCTGGCAGTTGTGGATGTGCAGCAAAATTGAACACCACTGACATATTCTGTGAATGATGAAACTTACACTACCTTGATCCCCTTGGCCTGGAGGTGAAAAGAACTGTGTGAGTGCAACACCAATGGCAGCTATTACAAGCTGATAGCCAATGGCAGCCATTACAAGCTGATGTATGAGACCCTTACAGGTCCATGTACTTTAAATATCCGCCGACCCCGGCCTATAGCCAAAGCCTAGGCGGGGAGGCACCTGGGACACCGCAGGGTGAAGCAGTTGGCCAAGCCTAGCAGAACCCTTCAAGCACTTCCAAAGGCGCAGGATGCAGCAGTTGGCCAAGCCTAGCAGAACCCTTCCCAGCACTTCCAAAGGCCTGTCCGAGGCCTCACCAGCTGGCCGGCCTGTTGCGGCCTCTCTGTGGCCTGTTCGAAGCGTGCCTCCTCTCTTCTTATCGGCTTCCCAAAGCGACGTTTAGGCATTTTGGACCGCCTTCAAAAGCTTTTCGGCCTCTCTGTGGCCTGTCCGAAGCTTCTCGGCAGCCGGCAAGCCTCTTGCGGCCTCTCTGTGGCCTGTCCGAAGCCTGCCTCCTCTCTTCTTATGGGCTTCCGAAGGCAACGTGAGGCATTTTGGACCGGCTTCAAAAGCCTCTCGGCAGCCGGCAGGCCTCTTGCGGCCTCTCTGTGGCCTGTCCGAAGCCTGCCTCCTCTCTTCTTATGGGCTTCCGAAGGCAACGTTAGGCATTTTGGCTCGGCTTCAAACGCTCCCCGGAGCCTCACCGCAGCCTTGCCCTCTTCTCGGCAGCTGGTTGAATGCCAGCATTGGTGTGAAGCCCATCCAAGTCTCGCTGTTGAATCCCAGGAAGTTGTCAAGGTTCAACCGCCAAACCCTCGAGATGAAAAGGGGTCGGCGGCACCCGGGCGGAGCCCTTACAATATGCTTGCAGTCTTTCAAATACAGAAAATTGATTGCAGATTCATGTTGCAATGGCACTCATTCATGTTGTTCTATAGATGTTTGTAAGAGTCATGGCTCATTTCATACAATAAACACAACCAACAGCAGTGGCTGAAAACGACGTAAGCCAATACCAAAAACCGTCATTGTGAACTAGCTAACTAGTTAGCTAACTTGCTAGCTAACTAGTTAGCTAATGAGTTAATATCTGAGATAACTCTTTAATAACTAAATAATGAAGAAGACAACTATAACTATCATAACTCATTAGCAAGCCCACGGTTCATCTAAGAAGAACTGGAAGAGGGTCAAAGTACGATGGGCAACTACGAAGCCCATTACAGGGACTTTTGCGCGGCCATGGTGAGGTCCCCCTGATGTCTGCCACGACAAGCGGGTGGCGGAATGCAAAAAAGTAAGCGCAGCAAAGCGCCCAAGTTCCCCAACAATGCCCGATAAATGTCAAAGTGCCTCATGATCTCTTGCTCACTACTCACTAGCAAGAACTGATGAATGGGGGCACCGCTTTGCTTTTCACAGGGCGCCGCTGCCAAATGTGTGGCTGTGTGCGCTTTGGAGCTTGGGTGCTGGTGCAGGGTCCCAGAAAGCACAGGTGTAGATGTCCATTGGAATTGCACCTATAGGTGGGCGTTTCTCTATACAGTCTATTTCCTTGCGTCATCAACAGGGTCAACCCAAGCTGAAACGTAATCGCTCTTCACCACGCCGCACTGCCTGGGTTCTCTCGCCGACATCAGAGTCTGAGGTCTCCTATCTGTGCCGCCAGGACATATTTTAAAAAACAGCAACAAGCAAACACCTAATATAGGTTGGAGGCCATCGCCAGTAGGGGGAGGCCGTCGCTATTATGTTGGAGGCCATTGCCATTAGGTTCTTCTTTTTTAACGTGTTCATAAAACTTTAGTTTTCTGATTAAATATCGAAAACAAATCTCAAGCTCCTCTGGGCTCTTGGAGGCACTGCTTTCAGCGGCAGCAACTTCGTTCAGAAGCTCCCGAAGCTTCCGCAGGTGCTTCCGCGGCATGGCTGTGAGTTGCAAACCAAAATGAACTCCTCACGCCATGTTTATACGTACGCTCACCACACAATGCCCCACTTCTGCATACTACAATGTGCAGAAAACAAAAACACGATCATACATCATACCTTCCTGCTTGGCACGAACAAACATCTTGCTCATCTCAAGCGGAACGGCAAATTACAGTAACTTCCTGCGGAAAAATTGTTTTCTTCAGCCCCGACTGGTCGAGCCTGAATGTTCTGTTGCGCAATCATAAACCTCCATCTCACGAAAATCCAACCCTTTGGGAAGAATCCTTCAAAAGCAGGCTGGTTGAACAACCGATCTGGTAAACTCCAAAGATTGAACAAATTCACAGGGTAGATCACATCCGTTGAAGTCATGTCTTGCTGTGAAAATTTCCACAATGCAATAATTATTGGATACGCAGCTCGGAATCCAAACAGGAATACGCACCCGCCCCACCTGCCGCCCTGGCACCTTCGCGACTCTGGCGACCACATATCACCCCTCTACTAGATCGGTCGCCACGCACTGTTTGTCGGCAGTCAGCCTGAAACTGCTCACTGAAACTGCTCAGCCTTCGTCAAAAACTTTGAGCATATCTTGCGACATCACTCTCTGGAGTGCCCTGCTCCAGTTTAGGGGATGGTGGGGACGCAGGCATGGACATCCACACAGCTTTTGTGATAAGATCCCACGTCACATTCTGGACAGCTCCCAGCCAAGGGCATCGTCTCTTCAAGGATGACAAAAGTAAGACTACTCTGCACTGAGTGTCCTTCATGTCACTCGAGGCTCTGGACAAGGAAGACGGAAGACTTGAAGAGGTAAGCATGGATGGCATTTGACTTCTGAGGAAAGTGAAGTGAAATAGCGTCCTTGCTCCTATCTAGCTGGTGCAACTGGCGCATCACCAACTCACCGTACATAGCCAACAGAGTAAATAAAGGATCGGATAAGAAATCCACATGCGAAGCTTTTGCGCTTACATGGAACGGAAGGAAGAGCATTGATAGCGGATGAGTGAAAGTGTGACTGTGAATGTGGAAGATTTGAAAGTGAGAAAGAAAGACAAATTTTTCCGATTTCCGATTCGCGCCAGGGTCTCTATGTAAAAGAGTGCAGTGCCTCGCACTAAATTCTGAATTAATGGTGGGCTCCTCTATGATAGTCGGGTCCAAAGGTTGTTTGACCCATCGGTACATCAATGAGAGGAGCATCAGCTCTGGCACCCCACCACTCTCTGTACAGCAGAGCTAGAAACTTGCAAAAATCAGGGGGATACGCTTTGAGGTGGCTGGTTCTCCACCCTGTGGCATCTTTACCTATGCTAGCCTTGCTAGGGGTCGCGTGTTTTTTGCCTTGCTAGGGGCCTATGCCGCCTGTGTTCTTTTGGAAGTCCTTTTCAGAAGGAGTTTCGCTTTTTGACAGCAAACATGCGGCCGGAGAGCATGTGTTTTCCCGGCACCCGAGACCACGTCCATGTCAAAATCCAGGGCTCATTGACAAAGGGATCGGCCGTCTATTGTCCCCTGCTGGCAAAGGCTTTGGCTCAGCTATTCCATGATCACCTTCAAGCCGAGTCGAAAGCTTTTGAAAAGAAAAATATTGCTACGGAGGGCCTCGAAAGTTTGCTGGTCAATGAGATCGCCAAGAAAGCTCAGTGGAAAGTGTCCTCATGCTGGCAGTGGAAAGGCTACTCTCACATCAATGTCCTGGAGCTCGCAAGTCTACTCCAGGTCGTGAAAGCAGCCGCCAGAAGAGGAGGAGGACGCACATGCCTCCTCTTGGATTCTTTTGTAGCCCTTCGATCGACATGTAAGGGGACGATCTGGATCAAGAGCACTAGTGCCTTTGCTTCGCAAAGTGTCGGCCATCTCCATAGCCTTTGCTGTGTACCTCTCTGGTCTTTTTTGTCCCACCCGCTTGAATCCATCTGATGATCCAACGCGGGATGCTCCTCTCCGCGCTTCAGTGGATTTCCCTCTCTCCGTGGATTTCATGGACTTGAATGGACTTTACTCTCTTGCAGCTTTGCCCAAGCTGAGGCGATGGATTTCGAATTGGGCATGCCTGGCCTTGGGCATACTCTTGCTTTCAGGCACTGTCCCTATGCAACTTTCCCAGCACTCAGTCAGGCATCGCTCCACCAAGCTTCCCATCAGTCTCCATGAAGTCCTTCAAGAATTCAATCCTACTTTCGGCTTCCCTGGAGAAGGCCTTTCAGGAGGTAGGCTTGTACTTTTTGGATTTCTAGCCGGTAGCACGTTTTCCCGAGCCATGGAATGTTGCCTCGACAGAGGACCGTGCCAGAGCTGACTGGAGGTTGGAACGACCTTTGGAGT